GGAGCTGCGGTGTCCATGATTGATACAGAAATCATCAACACAAAAAGTAGTTTAAATATCTTTCTTACCAGTCATCATCTTAGCTAGCCAGAATTTTAGCTTTCAAACTGCTGCAGTGTGTGAGCATTACTGAAAACATGAAAACAGTTCTTGGTGTGTGTTTGCAGCCTACTTAGAAAAAATCAACCAAACAAAAAATCCACCCACAACAATAACAAAAAGCACCTTGAAACAGTTTCAGGTTTGGTGTATCTAGACAGTGTGTAGCTTTGTATACCTCAGTGCCTGTGAAAGGTGAAAACTGACTTTGTGAAACAGGTATGGGCTTAAGAGGCTGTATTATACCAGCCCAAAGATGGGGTGGGAAGTTTACTCACTCCAAGAACCCCAAATTTTAAATATGCTCTCCTATAATGCTTTGAGTAATATTTATCATCACAAGTATCATTGTGTCATTAGATCTTTCAGTTTTCCTTCCAGTTCTTTGCGTACTTGTTTGGCTTTTAACAACTCCTCAGTGGCCCATGCCAAAGGAATAATATCAAGCTTTTTCTGAACTGAGACCTATGTATTTTTAAAATTTCCTTTGATGAAAAGGATGTCTAATTGTTCAAGCCTTTTGCAACAAACTGTCTTCATTGACTGTACTTGTCTTGTCAGTCTTTTAAAGGTTAATTCATCCTAAAATAAGAGTATGCCACTTCAGGTTCAGTACTGCAAGTTAGATGCAAACAACTCTAAAAGGATGTGTGAATGCTGAATAACCAGTCATCTCCCTAGAGCATGCATGTGACCTGGCACAGATTCAGGAACTGCTGCAATATCTATTCAGAGCCTTGAGCAGATTAAGTTCAAGAATTCTTCCTTCAAGCCCTGTTTATCAAAGACTTACTTGAACTGTGCACAGTTCATATATTTGGCTTCCATTTAATGATAGGAAATGCATGATTGTAAATGTGATAGCTTTTTAGTCAAATGTCTTTGACTTGAGCAAGTTCAGACTTGCAAATTTACTGTTTATTCTGCTGGATAATAAATGTTGAGATTTGGATTATTTTGTCTTTTTTTTTTTTTAATTATCCTTGTGTCTTTACTTGTGATGCAGATTTCAGTTTCTCTAGATAATTTCCTTTTTGAGAAGCAAATTATTTAAGCACATGGTACTGGTTTGGTGTTTTGTTTTTTTTCTCTTTTAAAAAGCACGTTTTCAACTTTATTCTTAGGTTGCAACAGGCAATAAATGTGCATTTAACTGGTGCATCACTGATCAATGCAGATTGCATACTTTGTACAGGTAAAACTAGCTCTTTGTCTTTATCTGTTGTCACAGTATGCTTTATTTACATTAACATATAACATGGTACTGTGGAGGTGGAGCAAAACCCGCTTGTGCTGAGGACTTGATGTTGAAACTACTGAGTTGAGGGGAGGGAAAAAGGAAGGACCTCAGGCTAGTCTGGTCCCCTCGACTGAACACCTGTTAGCAGTTAGCACAGTAAATGCACTCATCTTCTGGTTTAGTTTCATCCAAAGTGAGTCCTGTTATGCACTCCGAAGATATTCAGCGATGCAAACCAGAAGTTAGTAAGTGAAAATCATCAAACGATGAGCAAAAAGGATTGCTTCAAAAACACTTTCCTAATCCCAGCTAAAATACTGATTTAGAGACCTCCCCCCTTCCTTGTTTAGAGCAGGCTGAAGAAAACAGTAAGCATTCTGTGGTTATGATGTGAAAGGAAAAGGGAAGGCATTTCGAGCTAACTGGGTACTGTTGCCATTTTCATTGTTCTGCGATAGACTAGGTCTTGTACCTATTAAAAAATAGCATTAAAACTCCTTTACTGTGTATCACAGTTTAATCTTCATAGCTTTTAAAACTTGTGAAAGTGCCAGCAGGCACCTTTGCTTTTAGGACCTCCCCTCCACTCCCAACATTCCTTTTTGAAGTAATTCTGAGGAAGAGATAGCAGTAATTTTTAAGGGTTTGGTCACTTCATCAAGTAGAGGCAATGTCTTCAACTTGCTCATGATTCTAGTGCAAGGTTTATAGACATATGAATGCACGCTGCTGTTCCCAAAATTCTGTAGCTTCTTCCACAGAAACACCAGTTCCACAACATTATTTAGAAGCAAAACGTAAGGCCAAATGCTGTCATGGCAATTAGTCATTATAGTACCATGTGTGGAAAGGATTTAATGAAGTCTTCGGACCAGGCTGCTTTAATCTGAGAAGTCTAAAGAAAAATCTACCTTTCCAATAGTCATTACAAAACACTAATTTTTTTTTAACAAGCACAGAGTGTGGCTTTTCTTAGTTTCTGAGACAGTGTTTAATCTCTGTACTTGTCAGACTCATCTGGCGTAAAACTGCAAGAGCAAAGTTTCTTAAAATGCATGTGCTGCTTGAAGTAGGGAAGGAAAGCTAACACCTGTAGACAGGGTGTTTTTAAAGGTTAAACTTTTATTTTGTTTGAAATGCATTCTTTAAATGTATGTGCTCATGCAGTTTATGAACCAGATCTTTCTTAGAAAAGAAGGAAGCCACTTAAATTTCACACAACAGAGAAGGACAAAGGGGTTCACAAATGGTTCTGATTTCAGTTTTGTGGTATATTTTCTGTGCCTGATGCCAGCCACAGCTGTGTTTTTTCATCTGCCACCTTGCAATATACCATATTTCTAACAAGCATTTTAGTTCTTAGAAATGGGAGATTACATCACTGTCCTGTCATTCACAGGCTTCATTGCTAGGCAACGGTTAATGTAATTCCATTGTTCAGTGACACTACTTTGAATCTTTGCTTTGTGTACAGAAATTGTATGTCTGCATTTTGCCATGTTGTACCTAACATGGTAGGATTTGTATAGTTGGATTAGCATTTCAACATCTTTTGTGCAAAGGGGCAATTTTGTAATAGCTTGTTCACTTCAGATTTTCTTGTCTGGAGAAGATGTCTTGCTGTTGGTCTTTGACTGTTACTGAATTTTCAGTTTCACTACAGTTGTGTCTACATAGCACCTTTTATTAGATGAATCTGAGCCTCCTGAATGCTTTTAAGATTCCTGTGGAGTACACACTTCACTGCAGAAAGAGAGGTGAAATGCATTGTTCAAATCCATGCAGAAGTGATGATACTTTTGAGCTGGCTCTTAATACCTTTTTCTTTGACATATCGTTTCTATAACAGAGTGCTGCAGGGGGTATTCCATATGTGAAGTATTATTCTAGTAGTGTTTGTGCAGCATTGTTTTATAAGAAGTAGTTGCAGTGATATTGCAGTACATCCAGTACATAGTAGCAAACAGTGCTGAAATACTAGGTACCAGTTGTCTTATGGCTTGTCTTGTTCTGTGTCACACTAAACAGGCTGCCCAGGGAGGCTGTGGAATCTCCATCCTTGGATTTTTCAAGACTTTGGACAAAGCCTTGAGCAACCTCATCTGAATTCATTGTTGACCCTGCTTGGAGCAGGAAATTGGACTAAATGATCTCCTGAGGTCCCTCCTGGCCTGAATTATTAATTGGTTCTTTGATTCTACAATAGCATGACCCAGTCTTGTATTACGCTGGAACTAGCTATGTACATCTGCTCTCCTCAGTGCTACCTAGAGCTCAGGGATAGGGGTAGTTAAGGGCCACTGAGTGGGAAAGGAGGGCTGGAGGCAGCCTGCAGTATTCTTCGTCATATGAAAGCTGACATGTAATATTCCAGTTGAGTGAACTCTGGTGTCCAGGGTATGGATTGGATTGTAATGGGGACACTATCCTTTACAGCAAAATTAAATTTGTGAGGTCATAGCTTAGTCATTGCATCTTCTGAGTGGATTGTTTTAGCTTAGCCTTGTATTGGGACATCAGAAAAGTATGTCATTAAATATTGAAATTATATTATCCATCATTGCAAATCAATTGAACATAAGTGCTTCATTTTAATATATAGCAGGACTGTTTCATTCTGCAGCAAGTGTGAAGATGGTTATGAAAGACACTTGTAAAGCAGAAATTGATAAAGCCCTTTATTTTGAAGTAAATGTATGTTAGCTGGCTTGTCATGCAACAGCTGTCTGTCCTTGACTAGGTCTGCTCAGCTGAAAGTTAATGAAAGTATTGATGTGTTGGAATGCCTATAACTGTAAGGGAGGTAGAGTCATGTCAGAATGATGGGAGTGCTTTGTCTTGGTGTCTTAAATCTATATGGTGGCAGATCCATCCTACAGCTCTCATTTGCAGTAACTTTAAGTGATTTGTTTGTTTAATAAAGACGATTTTGCACAACAATCCTTCTGAGAACATCCCTTTTAAAAGTATTGTGGTGTGTGCCTCTAGGTATTTGATTCTGTCTTTTAATATTTGGTGCTTTATATTTGTTCCTACCTGCTTTGTTGATTAAAATCAGTTTTTCCAGTGCTGTGAATGCTTCAGAAAGGCTGTTGTTTCTAGCAGTTCATCTTTCCATAGCAGAGGTTAAAGTTTGCAATGTGTGTATCTATTCTGTTCTAATATTAAATCATGGGTAGGAATCAGCAAAATGGAAGAATAAGTAGTAGGTAAATAATGGCAGATAAAAGAACTGCATGCATGTTCTGAAAAGCTGTTGAATAGCAAATAACTTGCTGCTTGGATGGGCTGGAATCCTGTTCTCAAAAGTATGAGACAGTTTGTGAACATTAAAATATGTAGAAAGTTTAGTTGACAGCATGGGAAGGAAGTACTTGGGAACAGGGAGCAAGGTTTTGGTGCTCATAGCATGATTACCCTCACTTCTTGACTATGCGCCTCAGAAGACTTCCATAGTGTAGTCAAAACTAAATCTGCCTAGATGAAATGTGGTTTGAAAACTACTGGCTGGCCTCCATTTGAGATGTTCCTAATCAACAAATGCTATAACCTGTCAAAGATGTTGAAATTTAAAAACAAATAATTTCTGAGGCAAAGTAGCCTTGCCGAAAGAAGGGTTTGTTGTTCAAAGAAACTTACCATGGTCTTGTGTCTCTTGTAGGCAGCAGCAGGCATACTGTGCTACGTGGGAGCCTATGTGTTCATCACATATGATGACTATGATCACTTCTTTGAAGATGTCTACACACTAATTCCAGCAGTTATTATCATAGCTGTGGGAACACTTCTTTTTATTATTGGACTTATTGGGTGCTGTGCCACAATTCGAGAAAGTCGCTGTGGACTTGCTACAGTAAGTTGCAGAGTTTTTATATGATGATGTTTGGCTGTTGTATATTTGGTCACCTTACCTTTTAATAGACTTCTAAAAAAATTTTTAAGTCTGTTCTAATATTATTTTATGACCTTAAATATTTTCCCCTTATATTTTGTTAGGAACATCTTATTTCAATTTTCTGTTCTGAATAATGGTGTTAAATTAGCCAGAGCTGGCAGCAGCAGGCTCCTCAGTTTTACCTTTTTTAGAACTGTGGTTGTCTCAAAAAAAAATAAAAAAATAAAAAAAAAATCAAGTCATAACAGTTTTTATGTCTCACTTTTATCTGTTCTGTTTGAAAAGCTGAAATTGGACAGAGAAAGGTGAACCAGGAGCCTTCTTGTTTTAAGTATCTTGCATCGAGGTTAACTGAGCGTTGTTATGATGCCTAAATATTTTTCTGTATGGCTTAATTTAGATGCTTTGTTTGCAGTATTTTGTCATGTGTTTCCAAGCATTTTAACTGTAATTTGAGCTTGAGAATTAGGTAGGAGAGAAGAGGTGCCAGCATTTAAACTGTCTGCACTTTTTTTGCGGGGGGGGGTTGAATACTGTGTAGACTTCTTTAGCAGTTTATCTTAAAAGTGCTCTTAAATGTACCAAGACAAATGCATAGCTTGCTGTCTCTGTCAGTTGCTACAGGGCTTAAACTGAGGAAACATTCCCCTAGTCCATCTACCACTCTTAGTAACAGTCTGGATAGCTTCTTTGATGTGACATTTCTATTTATCGAACAGAAAGAAGATTGAAAGAAGCACTTGATTAAAGCACTCCATTATGGTGTTTTCAGTCCTAATGCTCAGCACTTGCCTGACTGGGCAGCTGCTTATTACTTGGTGAAGCTATGAACACTGAAGTTTCTTGAATGAAGTTAATTCTGGACTCATTTGATCAACTTAATTGCCTGCTTTAAGTTATCTGTTAAATCAAAACATTACCTGAAAAATTAGTTTAAATAGCAAAATCTATCTGGAGACTTTCAGGAAGTAAATGGGTAAAACTATTTGCACAAATACTCTTGATTGTATTTTACAGTTTGTGATCATCCTGCTCTTGGTTTTTATCACTGAAGTTGTGGTGGTAGTTCTTGGCTACATCTACAGAGCAAAGGTAATAACTTGTCAATTTCAGTGAACGTGTGTGTTGTGAACTGTTACCAAAATACAGAGGTGTAGTCTTTACTGTGTTGGATTCTGTAGAACTGTAAATGGGTATTTGTTAAGGGAATAAAACCAAACCTCCAAGTGGGTTAATTTGAGATATCAACATCTTAAAATTTAGAACAACGGTATTCTTTAAAGCAAAGCAGAAGGCTTTCTCGGAGGCAAAAAACTAGCTGGAATATATCATTAACAGTTGAACAGCAGAGGGGAGACATGGTAATTGGTACCTTTCCATTTTCCAGATGGTCTTCTAATTTATTTATGCTTTGACTTTGTGAATGATTTAGGTTGTACAATATTTGAACATAGGGCCTATTGGTTTTATACGCAGTAACTTAAATGTTGTCTTGTGTTTTGGTATACAAACTAACACTGCATAATAATAAAATCAAATAGACTGAATGTGTTAATGTATACTGTCTAGCTTTATACAGGTTGTTGACAAGGGTTATGGCTAAAGAAATTGTTACTTCTCCTACTCTTTGTTTATTGGAATTTAAGAAACAGGACCAGAAAAATGAAATTAATTGTGTTTCTAGCAGCATAATACGTAGCAGAAATATACCACATGGCATTAGAGATATCACAATGTAGTTTGAAGAAATGAAGTTTCTAACTTGCACCATTTCACTGGCTTTTGTTATGTCTACATCTAAATTTTGCCAAAAAATTAGCAGAAAAGGTGTGTTTAGCTGTGATGTGTAGTATGATCACATTATAGGACACTCCAGTGATATCTTAATAGCAAGCTGAACTACAACACCATTTACCTTTGGCCTTCTGTGTTTATATAAACCCAGGTCTTACTAGTCCAGTATTCTCTCCTGCTTGCTTTCTCTTGCTATCCTGGAAGAAATGGTGAGACAACCATTAAGTAAAAATCTGGAGTTCTTGCTTGGTTTACAAAGCAAGACTGCCTCGAGTAAGCAGCAATTGAGAGGACCCTGAACCTATGCATTATAAATCTGGCTTCATAACAGTTAGAGTAGGTTGCTTCAACAGAAATGCTCCATCAGTGACGCTTAAATTCAGGATATGTTTTTCTCATGGTCTACGTTTGATTTCTGCTATATTGGCAGTGCACCGAGAAGATCATTTGGGACTCGGAAGCTTGTAGTGTGGAAGTAGTCCTTGGAAGCAACGGAGGAGAGCAGTACAATTTCTGGAGAACAGGAAACATGTTGAGTTCTTACATGTTAACTTGAATGGTTGCCTTCTGCTCCAATACTTGCAGAAGCACAGTGTATTACAGTGTAGTTATTCAGGAATTACTGTGGATCTGATCTGGACTAAGCTGTGGTCATCTTATTCTCTCTATGTGTTCAGTCTTAAAGTGGCTTGCTCTTTTCCAGTTAAGAGCATTCAGAGCAGATAAAAGCAGATGCATAGATCTTTTTTCCCTAGCCCATCTGAAATAACACACTTGAAACACTTGAAAATTTGATTGGTCCCAGCTGTGTGTTCCTGTTGTCTCATTTTTGTCTTGCTACTGTACAGTTTCACAGCTGTAGCTAATGCAGGGTCAGAGCTTGGGGGAAGAGGGAAGGTAGTTTCTTTTTGGTGGCAACATGTTCTTACATTAAGCCATTTGTTGGGAGTCTGTATTTGAAAACTAAATCTTGGATCTTTTGAAAGGACGGACAGGTTTGTTAGTAAAAATGGCAGTTTTCTACTACCCTGCAGTACTTAGCATCTTAAACTATTGTTTTCAATTGCAACAGGAGTGTCAGAAGTAACTTAGAATTTATTATCAGTGAACTGGAAGGTGAAATCTGCTCAGATTTATGATTCCCCCCCCCCCCCCGGAGAAAA